ACCCTAAAGCAAAAACCTCTTAAAAAAAAAAAAAAAACAAAAAAAAACAAGGATACCTGCACTAGCCCTAAATTTAGAATTACTTGAAGCACTCCTTTGGGAACTAGAAGGTGACATGGAGGCCGAAGTGCTGGATCCCACCCACATGGTCGACTATGCAATTCCAGTCCTGGACCCAGCAACTTGAAACACGCCAGGCATGTGTGTGTGCCCAAAATCCCAAAGAGAATGGAGAGAAGAGATCGTGGTGTGGCCAGCCCCTCTTGGGAGTGGTTTCTTACTTTCTCCCTCTCTCTGTCTCTGGTGAGTGCACACGTCCTATAGCAAAAGAAAAGGAAAAGGGAAAAAAAAAAAAAAGGCAATTAATGGCATTCCTTTAAACACCAATATAATTTAATTATTCAAAGAACCCACTCAACTGTTCAGGGAGTTGCCTAAGCCCAAGAGGCCAGCTGGACAACCTCTGTCCAGTATCTGCTGCAAGCAAAACTGAAAAACCCCATGAGCCTCTGCGTCATCAGGAAAGCCATGACACAATTTTGCATAGAAAAATACATGACTTTCCTGACAACCTAATAGTTAGCTGCCACAAACTTCAGATGACAAAAGTAGCCTGTGATTAAACATTTTCAGGCCAACATCTACAGAGATGAGAATACCCAGTGGGCAGATTGACAGGAATATGTAAACATACAGATATTCACACAAGTTTGAATAAAACACAGTCCTTTTATTTAGTAAACTGATGATGGCTGAACAAAGTCAATTAAGTGCAAGAGGGAAGGACCCCAGGAAAAACAGTTGACTCCAATCAGAGAGCTAGTGATCTAGAGCAATAAACATGCACTGTGCATTCACGGGCACCCGAACCGTGTACAGGCAGACTGGCTTACCCTTGACAAGCTTGAGGAAGGTGATGGAGCGGAGATTCAGGGACAGTAACAACAAGCTGATCTTTTATCCCAGGCACTCGAGGCACTTCTCTGTTATTTGGCTATTTTACAACTGCTTTTTTTGTCTTTAAAAATAAGTCATTCTTGGGATCAGCAGATGGAGTAACAGCTACGTCGCTGGACTTCCATGTGGTCGACCGTGGTTCAAGTCCTGGACCTCGTGGCTTAAACACACCGGGCGCATGCGTTCGTGCCCAAGATCCCGAGAAGAGAATGGAGAAGGGATTGCGGCATGGCCGGTCCCCCTGGGGGATGATTTCTCGCTTTCTGTCTCTGTCTTTCTGATGAGCACATGTGCCCTATAGCAAAAACCTCTTCGAAAAAAAAAAGAAGAAAAACAAAACCAAAAAACAAACAAAAAAAGCTTATAACATAAGCCAGGTATCTATGAAAACAGATGTTTGCACACATACAACCCAATTCAAACTATCCTTCTGTGAAACTGGAGGGCAGGCATTTTTCCCTGTAGCTGATGAAGCAACTGAAACACAAAGGGCCCTGACTGAGACCTTGAAAGTGTTCTATATATAAAAAAGGGAAATAAGTACAACCTTTTTTTTTTTAAAGCATGATTTTTTTAAGTCTTTTTATTTTTAGACTTATTTATTTCATTTTATTTATTATCCTTATTAGGTGATTTGCTATAGAGCATGTGCACTCACTAGAGGAGGCGGGTGGGGGAATGAGAAAGCAAGGTGCCAGGTCTGGGACTTGACCCGTGGTTAACCACATTGGAGTCCAGCACCTTAACTACCCTGCCACCTGATGGCCCAAGAATGCCATTTTTATTAGTATTTTTTAAATTTTATTTATTTATTGAAAAGGTTTTTGCTATAGTGTGAACTTGCCAGACAGAGACAGAGAGAAAGAAAACGAGAGACATAGCCATTACGCCAATTGCTGGTCCAGCTTGTGTTTTTTAAAAAATTTTTGCATGTGCGTTCACCAGAGAGACAGAAAGTGAGAACCACTCCTCCCCCAAGGGGGATGGCCACGCCACAAACCCTTCTCCCCCATTGTCAGGATTTTGGGCATGCACACACACATGCCTGGTATAAGTTTCAAGGCCCCAGGTCCAGAACTTGAACTGTTATCGGCCACGTGGGGGGTGGGGGGGATGGGCAGTGCCTTAACCACCATATCACCCCTATTATAAGCTTTCCAAGAAAGTTGCTGGAAACCTGTGTGCTCAGCTAGCCAGCCCACAACTCCAGAGACTGCCTGTTAGGGAGCAGCATCGACTCTGCAAGTAGACTAGGTGCAAAGGAAAAGCCGGAGCCCAGAGAGGGACAAGAGGGGCTCACCTGCCAGAAGGTGGGTGAGCTTAGTGGTCCCTCCACTACTCTGCTTCTTCTACTGAAGTATACGAGGAGGAGGGATTGCGACGTGGCCATCCCTTGGGGGGATCTCTCTCTCTCTCTCTCTCTCTCTCTCTCTCGTGCATGCACATGCCCTAATACAAAACTAGAAAAAATTTTTTAGAAGTTCAAGACTATCTCTCTGATCATTTTCTTTGGATAAATTATAAAAACAGACTTACTGGGTATGGAAGTAACGATTTGAAATATATTCCCAAACTGTCCTTCTGCTATGTTACATGGGAGGAACTATATTCCATCATCCACCTGGAATGCTGCATGACAGCCAGAGGTCAAAGTCTGAAACCAAACTTTGGGCTTGGTGTTTAGGTCACCAGAAACTTTCAAGGAAAGGCCTCTTACAGGAAGCTGATGGGATAGGCTCTGAGCAGTGGCTCTCAATGTGAAGCCTGTGTCTCCCATCTCATAATCAGCCAGTGCTTTCCACGGTGGCCTCTGCGCGGAAGGCTCGCAGTCTGTCCCTCTCCCTCGGATGTTGATGGAGAGCTTCCAGGGTGACACCTCTGTGCCCTTGCCAGATCTAAAGCCAAACAGGACACCTTCTCCCAAGCTACCTGCCACTCCTGACTTTCCTATTTTGGGCTTATTTACTCTCTAAATGGTTTCATACTTACATGCTTTAGGGATTTATTCTTCCACTTCAAGCAACAAATCCAAAGTATTCTTTCTCTTTTTGGGGGGGTGTTGGGGGGTTTTGCTATATGGTGCTGCATTCGCCAGAGAGGCAGAGAGACAGAAAGTGACAAACCCTTCTCCTCTCAGGATCGTGGGCACGCACACACCCGGTGTGAGTTTAAGCTACCAGGTCCAGGACTTGAACCACAAACAACTACAGGGAAGTCCAGCAACATAGCCATTACGCCAACTACTGGTCCTCCAAAGTATTCTTTCTTTCATTCTTTTTTTTTTTTTTTAATTGCCAAGGGCATGTATACTCACCAGAGGGACAGGGAGAGAAAGAGAAAGAAGCGCCCTGCAGTGAGGTATTATCACACAGCAGTGTCTTCTCGTCCATTTCTCCATTCTGTCAGGATCTGGGACAGGTGTGCACACAAGCTGGTGTGTTTTTCAAGCTGCCAGGGCTGGAATTCAATAACTATCAGGCAACCCCCCAGGAATCCAGCTCCCTCGATCATCAGGCTACAGGGCCAGCACTTTCTTTCTGAATACTAAAAGGAGTCCTGGTGCACCCTAACACATTTGATGCTGTTTCTCGGATACTGGTTCATGGGTAAGCACTTAGTGGAGACGTGGGCTGGACCAAGACCCTGTCAGCTCTCGCTGGCATGATTACAATCCCTCCTGACTTAGCTTCTCTCTCATGACCACCCTAAACTGCTTTATCACTTCTATCCTCCTTGAAATCTCCGCTTTCTCACTGCCTAAGAGGACAAATTCCAATGCCTTCAAATCCACCCACAACTCTCTTAACCTTATGTTTCCTTGCACAAGTCACCTGACTTTTAGTCTTGCAGTTTCTCTTACCAAAGTACATGATTAGAGGCCTATTTCCTTTCTGGAGCCTTGATTTTCGTTACTGTTTTGTGCCCCCAAAAGTTAACCCCTTTCCTGACAACATCTCCTATCCTTAAATTGCCTGCTTACTCCATGAAGATTCTCCTGACCACTCCACTCCTAGTGCTTTCTCCCAGCACTTACATCTGCCATTTGACTTCCAGTCATACATGGCCCAGGGGACTCTAACATCATTTCTTAGGATTACTAATTTAATTTTCAGGTATATATGCCCTTTCCAGGTAAGTTTCCTGAAGGCAACGTGACTCTTCAGCAGCCTTAATACAGCTGGGTATGAGTAATGCATGCTCAATATATATATTTCTCAAATAAATCCAATGTTTCCTTTTGAAACGTCTTTAACATGTAAGAACTTTTGAGCGGAGGACAGTTAAGTGGTTATTGTTATCATCCCAGCACCTATAACAATGCTTGGCTTGTAGCTGTACAAGTAGTTTATGAATGAGAGGATGGATGAACTTGAACATGGTAGAAAGAATAAGCCAACAGCTTCATTCACATCCTAACTCTAACTGAGCTGACCAGTAATGGAGACGACAAGGTGTCACCCCTAGAATTTTGGCATTACCTTATTCTTATGTGAGTCTGAGTCTTGGAATCGGAGGCTTCCAAAGCCTTCACTGGCAAGACCATTCTTATAGAGGACTATTTTAGTAAAACCTACAAAATTTCACTCTGAGAGCATTAGCTGTGGGTAGTAAGGCAATTAACTTGATTATTCAAGGTGAGAATGTTAAATTAGGGTACAATCCAAAAAGGTATATGAAGTCGTTTCCTACGTTGCTGCTTCAAAGTACAGCTCTAGCTATCAATGTTCTTCAAACACTGTGATGATGAAAAGGCAACCTTGCAGTCTCAGTAAGAAAAGGTACTCCTGGGCCAGGCAGTGGCTTGGTGGCCAAGGTGGCTGGATCCCACATGGATGATTACATAGTTCAAGTCCCAGACCTGGCCACCTGCAAAACACATGAGGTGCATGTGCCTGCATATCCGAGAGAAGACTGGAAAACGGATTGTGAGTTGTGGCCATGCCCACCCCCTGCTGAAAATATGCTTCCTATATCGCAAAAAAAAAAAAAAAAAAAAAAAAGGCCATTCCATTAAGTGTGTTTATAGCTTCAGAACTTCCTACCTTTGGAGCCAACATTTGCATCTGGACTGGTTTCACAGAAGCAATAGGTTTCAATTGTTTGTTGACATTTGTTTTGTTGGACTGAACTGGTACTTTCGTGTTCTGAGGTTTCTACAAGGAAAAAGAAATATGAAGAAGGCAAGATAGTCTGGGTGATCCCTCCCGGCTGTACAGAATCAATATGGGCAGGCCCTTTCAATCCTCAGGGTTGTTACCTTCGCTCCTTGAACTGCTCTGGTTGTAACTCTATTTCCAATTTCTTCTAAAACGGCACGCCTAATAGTCACATGGCTTTTAGCTTTAGAATTAACTCCCGTGTCAATATTCTCCAAATCTCTAGACACCTAAAAAATAAAAGGTTAATGATACGTTGAGACAATTTTAAATAATTTTTGCTAATGTCAAGTTTACAATGGTTTTGGAAAAGGTGAATATGCTGAAATGTATTTGTCAGAAGGAAAGAGTACATTTTAGAATGTCTAACAATGCCATATGCTGGGGTCAGCAAGTGGCGTGGTGTTAAGGCATGCTACCTGTTTCTGTAGGGTCAGCAGGTAGCATGATAGTTAAGGCACTGGACTCCTACACAGCTGACTGTGGTTCAAATCATGCACCACTTGCTTTCTCATTTTCCATCTCCATCTCTGGTCAAATTAAAAAACAATAAATAAAATTAAAAATAATTCTTGAAAAAAAAAAGTTTCTGTAGACCCAATCTTTTAGAAATACTTTTTTAAAAATTAATTATTTTATTTAACTTTGTATTTATTTACTTTTAATTTGACCAGAGATGGAGATGGAAAATGAGAAAGCAAGTGGTGCAGGATTTGAACCACAGTCAGCCATGTGAGAGTCCAGCGCCCTGAACCACCATACACTACCTGCTGGCACGTATAAGTACTTTTTAAAATGAGGTTGTCATATCACGAACTCTCTTATGTTAAGATTACTTAGGATGGAAATCCACAACAACAGTTTTAGCTCTCAAATTCAGAAAAGGCTGAATTGAAATGAAATAAAAATTGTCAGTTGACCTTAACCTGCTTTAGACTGAATGTGCTTAGAAACAAAACCTGCTAGGAAAAGCAATTCATACAAAAAAAAAAAAGAAGAAGAAAAGAAGAAAAGAAAAGAAAAAGTAATTTTATTACAGAAGTAATAAGCATTTCATAAAGAAAAACATTATATGCTATCTGTGAGTGTTGGAGGTCTTAATCTTAAGGAATCTTCAAGGGGGTCATTTGAGTGTATCTACCATGATAGAGCAGTCAGGTAAAACTCAAGCCTTCCCTGAATAGAAAGAATTTGACTATTAAATAACTTCATAGGCTAAAGTAGGTCGAATCACATGTCAGTTGGATTTACAACCACAACAGGATATGAATTAAATACCAAATGTATTCACTCTATTGAGATTCTTAAAGGTCACACTGTTCAATTTTTCCAGCATCCACTGCCAATATTAAGAAGTGTTTGAAAGTTTAATGCTTATGGATTGAAGCCTGGTAATGTGACCAAGTTTCAATTTGTCTGCAAGGGAAAATTGGCAGCTTTTAACGAGCTTTGTAGACGGGATGATGGAACCCAGGTGTGTCAGGGCCTCCAGTTTTCATCACAAGTAAAGCTGGGAACAATTCAAGGCCACAGGAAAAATATCCAAAAGGCTATAACGCTTTGATTTTTGCAAAGATGAAATGAACAAACATGGATCCTTTACTCTGTCTGCCACGTGGGTCCAAATTATAAGCAAAATCTCTCTTAAGAAAAAAAATTTAAAGGACAAACCCATAAACGAGTGAACTTAGCCTGGAAGATTTAGTATGCAGAAATAAACAAGAAACCAAGAGAAATGTAAAACACCTAAGAAATAGCCATGGCAGTGGCCTGATCCAACGTGAGAAAGAATTCATTGACTACAGAATTTCTTCCAGTCCTTCTCCACGCAGCAAACACACACAGATCTCCTAGCTGGGAAGGAGATGGGAGAAAAGGGGAAGGAAAGCTCAAGAACCTGCGGTTAGAGAGAGCGAGAGAGAGCTCTCTTAACAAAGCCCTCGGGGTCGTCCGCTGAGCCAGTTCGCCAGCCAGGCTCGGGAGGCTCACCCTGCCGGGGCTGCACAGGGGCGGGGGCCAGCCTTAGGGCTCGGAACGCCAGAGAAGTGGGAAGCTCCAGGGAAAGGAAGAGCAGTCCAGTTTGGACTAAGAAACACGGAGCACGGGAGAGGCCCGAGACGGCTGCGGGGGAGGGGCTGCGGGGCCGCGGCCCGACAGGGAGGGAGTGGAGGGTCGCCGGGATCACTCACCGTCGGACGTCGGAGCAGCGCCATGAGGGACAGGGAAGGCGAGGGTGCCACCCCGGCCCGGCGAAGGGCGGACAGGAGCCGGAGGGCACGGGCGTCCGCGGCGCCGTTAGGAGTGCACTGCGGACCCGCAGGGCGGCGAATCTTCGGCGCTGTCGCCGAGTTCCAGGATTCAAATACCGCGCCGCTCGCGCCCCATTGGGCGGCCCCACGCACGGCGCGCTCTTCTTATTGGCCAGGTCCGGAGGCAGCCCCGCACGCTGATTGGCGGAGTTTCCTTAGACACATTTGGTTGTCATAACATTTGGTTGAGTTTCTGCCTACGGCCTTTTTTTAAAAAAAATAAGTCCCAGTATGTGAGATTAAAAAAAAGAAAAACGTGAGATGTCTCGTTAAATGTCCCGTTGAAAGCAGACGTAGAACGCCTTCCCTGAATTTTGACAAGGTCACCTCCAGATATCACTCGACATTTGTACTGGGTGGGCGGAAGTAGGTTCTAGGGAAACCCTGGAGATCCCATTTCTAACCTTTATTCTTCAGGAAATGTGGAGTGGGAGTTTACATTGAGTGGGCGTGGCTGATGGTACAGGCGCCTCGGAGTTGCTCAGGCTGCAATATGTTGGGTGATTGAGAATTCAACGCGTGTTATCGGCGATTATGGCTTTTATTTAGAGACTGACATTCCCAGAAGAGGAAAAAGAAAGGCAGGAGAGAAGGAAAGAGTAAAAGAATTCGTGTGATGTAAGCGCTAGCACTTAATATAATGGTGCATGTCAGTGCTCAGTAACTATTCGATCCTGTCGGGGGTGCCTGCAGGTGGCATGGTAGTTAAGGCGTTGGACTCCCACATGACCTATCATGGTTCAAGTCCCAGACCTAGTGGCTTGCTTTCACGCTTGCTCTCTCTCTCTGTGTCTCTCTGGTCAAACCGAAAAATAATATCAATAAACATGGGGACCAGCAGGTGGCATGGTGGTTAAGGCGCTGGACACTCGCACATGGCTGACCACAGTTCCAGTTCCGGACCTGGTGGCTTGCTTTCTCACTTCCCTTCTTTCTCTCTGTCTCTCTCTGCCAAATTAAAAATAAATGAATGAGGGGGCCAGCAGGTGGCATGGTGGTTAGGGGCGCTGGACTCCCACATGGCTGACCATGGTTCAAATCCTGGACCTGGCAGCTTGCTTTCTCATTCTCCCGGTCTCACTCTGTCCCTCTCTGCTCAAATTATGAATAGATAATGTTAAATAAAATAATTTTTAAAAATAAATGAATGAATAAAATGTTAATAAATAATTATTTTAAAAATAATATCAATAAACAAAATTAATGTTTAAAATAAGAACAAATGCTCCTGTGTGACATGTATGATTTTAAAAAGAGCAAGGCGTGACCTCAGTGTTGAGTGGAAAGGTGACAAAATCACGGAAATCCAAAGAGAAAGGCATTTAAGTTTGTCCTGGAAAAGAGAAGCAGGGGGTGAAGATCAAGAAAAGAGAAGCAATCCAGAATGAAAACGTGAGATTAAAGTGAAAGGTGAGAGAAACAGAAAGGACTAATGTCCACAGCAGACAGTGGAATAACTCTGTATCAGGCTCTATCCAAAAGTATGAGCAAGCTTTCCCATCACTTTTTTTTTTTAACCCTCCTCTCCCCCTTTTTTTGAGAGATTTTTGCTACAGGGTGCATGTGCTCAACAGAGAGACAGAGGAGACAGGTGAGAAATCACTCCCCATGGGATGGCCACACCGTAATCCCTTCTCCTCTTGAGACTTTGGGCACCCATGCCCATGCACCCGGTATTAGTTTCAAACCAGAAAGTCTGGGACTTGAATAGCCATCTGCCATGTGGGAGTCCAGTGCCTTAACCACTATGGTTATATGGTCGTATTTTCCTGATCAAAGCAAGTAAGAGGATTAGCCTAGATTTAAGGAGAGAATAAACGGGCTATACTTGTTAATAGAAGGCACAGCATAAAAATGTGGCCACCTTTAATCCACCATAGTAAGGTAAAACAAGATCCACTCCTTTGTTAGAATTCCTAGTACAGAGTTTCTGAGTGCATGTTTTTCATTCTAAAATTGGTTTGCTGACATGGAATACTCTGCACACTGAGACCATTAGGAGGCCCAGGTTTGGCTCCTGGTCCAACCTAAAGGCCACAGGTAGTGACATGAGCATGTAATACAGTGACTTGGAAAGTTGAGGCAGAAAGATCACGACAGAAAAATACCCTTTTTGGTTAGTTTTTGGCTTTTGGTTTTGTGCTCATCTGAGAGAAACAGAGTGAAAGAAATAAGAAACCACCTCCCCAAAGGGGATGGCCATGCTGCAATCCCTTCTCCGCCAGTCTCTTCTTAGGATTTTGGGCACACGAACCCAATGTGATTTTCTTTCCCTTTTTGAGAGATTCTTGCAATAGGGCACATACACTCATCAGAGAGAGACAGAGAGAAAGTGGGATTTGGGGCACACATGCCCACTGCCATATTTCCTGAGGGGCATGGCCATACCACTATTCCTTCTCTTCCATTTTCTTCTCAAGGTTTTGGGCACACATGTGCCCAGCATGAGTTCTGAGCTGCCAGATCCAGGACTTGAATTGCACTCAAGGATATGGGAACCCAGTGCCTTAACCACATGCTACCTGCTAGAACCCCAGTGTGAGTTTCAAGCTGCCAGGTCTGGGGCTCGAACTGCTCAGTCAGTTATGTGGAATCCAGTGCCTTAACCTCCACACCACCTACTGACCTGCAAGACCCTGTCTTTAAAAAAAAAAAAATCTGTCATTTAAAGCATTGTAGTCCTTTTTATTTCCTGTTCCCTCCTAGGTAATATTTATCGATCACATTTGTTATATGCTAATTTACACAAACTCTTTTCCTTGAATACCTAACAATCCCCATAAAGTAGGCACTGTTACCCAATGAACAAATGAAGAGACTAAGGCTCAGAGCAGTTAAACTCCTTAACAGTAAACACAGTGCTTTTATGTACTTCGAAGCGAGGATTTGTACCACAGTCTGATTCCAAATCTTATGTTCTTTCCACTGAGTATATACAACGGCCCGGTTAAAAGCATGAGAGATGTTTGAAACAGTCGCTAAAGAAAACTGGATAGAAATTTACAGATAAATTTCTGGAGGGTGTCTTCACTGTCGTTATTGTGCAAGTCTGTGTTACTGGGCCTGCTCCATAAGTGGGTAACTGAAACAGATCCCACACGGCCAGCCGTGCTCTAATCCCGCCCTGGAGGTTTAAGAAACATGGCAGGTGGGTATGTGCGCCCCAAATCCCAACAGGATGGAGAAGCAGGAGAAGGGATTGCCATGTGACAACAAAAAAAAGCTTCTGTCTCTCTCCATCTCCCTTTGGTGAGCACATATCGGGGGAAAGGCAAAAGACTGTAGAAAGAATTTCTGAATTACACAAAGATACAACACTCAAAGATCAGAAACACCTACCTCCTACCCATGAGTTTATCCTTCTCAACTATCACCCTGGGGAACTGGAAGTTCCTTTGCTGCTGATTCCTCTAACAATTTTACTTGAGAACAGAGCATTTATTTGCTTTTCTATATGCCAAGCTTTGTTTTAGAAGGGAAAAAATGAAGTGTGTTCAGAAACTTTGTACTGAGAATTCTTCCCCTCCCCCCAAGAGATTTTTTTTTCCTACAGACACAGAAAGTGAGAAATCACCCCCTTAGGGAGATGGTCACACAGCGATCTTTTCTTCCCTTCTCCTCCATTCTCCTCTCAGGATTTTGGGCACGCACCCACACATACCTGGAGTGAGTTTTAAGCCACTGAATCCAGAACTCAAACCACGGTCAACCACATGGTAGTTCAGTGCCATAACCATTCTGCCATATGCTGGTCCGAAAGATGGCCGTTTTTTATGCTGTGCCTTCTATTAACAAGTATAGTCCATTTCTTCTCCCCTTATATGTTGGCTAGCCTTCTTACTTGCTTTGGTCAAAAGAATGGGGCAGAAATTATGCTATTCCAGTTCCAGACTCATGTCTTACTTAGGAGGCCTGGCAGTTCATGTTATCTCCCTCAAACATATGAGCTTTGGAAACCTGGTTTGGTAGAATTTTTTGTTTTTTCTTTTTACGATTTTTGCTATAGGGCACATGCACTTGCCAGAGAGAAGAAAAGTGAGAAATCACACCACTGGGGTGTGATTGCAATCCCTCCTCCACAATCCTCTAGGATTTGAAGTATATATGCATACGTGCCTGGTGTGATTTTCAAGCCACCAGGTCAGGACTCAAACCATGCAGTCAGCCATGCGAGATCCAGCACCTTAATCATCACACTACCTACAGGCCCGGTCTGGTTGAATTTTTGCCCACAAAAGTCCCAGATGTCTGGAGCTAGGTCTTGGCATAGGGGATGAAAGAGTTACTGTTATTAAAGTGCATAAGTTTATCCTTGGATACGCCTTCCTTTGAATGGTGGACCCCATGTCACCTGGTTGAGCAAAGGCTGTTAAAAGTGAGAGCACAAGAAGTGTTACTCTCACTTTTTTTTTGGAGAGGTTTTCGCTATAGGGCGCGTGCGCTCACCAGACAAACAGAGACATAGAGACAGAAAGCGAGAAATCACCCCCCAGAGGGGATGGTCACACAACAATCCCTTCTCCTCCATTCTCGTCTCGGATCTTGGGCAGGCACGCACACGCACCCGGCGTGAGTTTTAAGCCACCCGGTCCGGGATGCGAACCTCGGTCGACTATGTGGGAATCCAGTGACATAGCCATTACACTAACTGCTGGTTCCTGTGTTACTCTCAATAGAATGTGGTAGAGGGGCCAGCAGTTAGTGTAATGGCTATGTCACTGGACTCCCACGTAGTCGGCCGCGGTTCGAGTCCCAGACCCGGAAGCTTAAACTCACGCTGGGCTCATGTGCGTGTGTGCTCAAGATCCCAAGAGAAAGGAGGAGAAGGGGTTGGGGCGTGGTCATCCCCCCTGGGGGGTGATTTCTCGCTTTCTGTCTCTGTCTGTGACGACGGCCCAAACAGAAACACCACCAAAAAAAAAAAAAAAAAAAAAAAAGAATGTGGTAGAAATGCCAAAGAATAACTTCTAAAACTGTGTACAAAATGGCATTGTGGCTTCTTCCTGCCTCCCTCTGGGATTATTTGCTCTGGGTAAGCCAGTTACTTGG